TGTGGGGTGCTAACACCTTCCCCACGCGTAACCGACTCCCTTACCCGACTCTGGTTGTAATGGCCAAAGTTGATTTATAAAATCAATTGCCTTATCCCTTTTTCCAATGTTTTGAGTAAAACATTGGTGGCGACTCCACGAACCCTCCTTTTGCGAAAACCACTAATCCATGGAGGGTCCCGCTTGGGATTAATATGGATTGGTGAGACATTTAATAAATAAATTGGATAAGATCGACAAGGTCTCAGTTTGAGAACAAGTCGTTCTAATAATCCAATACATTTTCAAAACTAAAATAAAAGCGAGCTCGACCGTCTTCGCGACCGCCGAGGCCCGTTTGGGCCGGTGGCGACAGAGATCAATTTAATTTGTATTGATTTTATAAATAAATAAAAAACATAGTATTAGTGACAGATTTAGAGACCAATTTTTCCTTACTAATTTGAATTTTCATTGCAAAAGTGGTCTCTAATTTCTTCACTAATTTTGGTGGCTTTTTTTGTTTATTCTTGAAGCCACTTGTTTACTTTTCAGTTCAGCTTTTAATTCCTTTGTAATTGGCCATTTTAGGAGTGTCTTGGAAGTGTCTTTGGTACACAACCATCTCTCCTTAGGTTACTAATTTCATTAGACTTGGTGGAAGTGGTCCTTGATTGGTCTTTGGTACCTCTCAAGCTTTCACCATAGGAATCCGTGTAGGAAGTTGTTATTTTCTTGCAATTTAATTGTTTTAGTTTTCTCCATTCGTCTAGTTATTCATATATCACAAATAACAAAAAAACATATTTTCATTGAAAAGATTTTTGGTGAGGATTAACTACAAGGGGAATTAGTAATTTTTACTTGAAGATGCTTGGTTATTAAATGGCTCTTAGTAGCTCACCTTTCTCCAAAGTTCAATTTGTATACTTAGTCCTCCAAGTACTTAGTCTTAACCTTTAAAAATTGCTTTAAAAACATCTTTCGTCAAAAGAAATCTTTCACCTATAATGGAGGAATTTTCTACTCCTCATAGTGATAGTAATTCAAATGATTACAATGATATTTCCAAAGTATCACATGAATTAAGATCACTCAAAATTTAGAAAGAGCAAGAGTCCAAACAAAGACTTAAAGAAAAACTTGAAAGAGAGGCTCAACTTGCTCTTTAGGAGGAGGAAATTCGTTTATTAAAGGAAAAAGAGGAAAAAGTGCACCATAGACACCGAAGTAAACATAGTTCTCAATCTCATAGTTCAACCATAGGAGAATCCATGCATGATGATAGCATAGCCTTAGGTGATCATTATCAACAACCTCCTAGGAGAGTTCATAGGACCCCTAAAGCTAGGGAATCTAGGGTAGATCTCTCTTATTTTCGTGGCAAAGATGATGTAGAGGGGTAACTTGATTAGGAAATGAAGGTTGAACAAATCTTCACTTGCCATCAAGTGAGTGAAGAAAGAAAAGTGTCTCTAGCCACCTTGAGCTTTCAAGGCCATGCCATGTATTGGTGGACATCCCTAGTTAGGGATAGGCGTCTCCATAATGACCCTCCAATACAATATTGGAATGAGTTAAGGAGTGCCTTGAGAAGGAGACACATTCCCTCATACTACACTAGGGAGCTTATCAACAAGCTCCAAAGACTCCATAAAAGAAACATGACTATGGAGGAATATAGACAAACCATGGAGTTGTATTGGATGAGGGCTAGCATTAGGAAGGAGGAAGATATTACCATTGCTAGATTTTTGAGTGGTTTAACTTTTGAGATAAGAGATAAGGTTGAGCTTTTACCTTATAGAGATTTGAATGACTTGGTTCAACTTTGTATCAAGGTTGAACAACAAAATTTGAGAAAGAATTTCAAAACAAGCTCATACTCATCTTCTTATTCAAAGGTTGACTACAAGAGGGAAGGAAAAACTTTTGAAAAGAAAAATACTTTTGATTCCTCCAAAAATCTAGACAAGGGTAAAACAAAAGAGGAAAAAGAAAAGAAAAACACCTCACACACTAGCACCAAATCTAGTGACATAAAATGCTT